TACGTAATCAGTAATCACGTAAATAAGATTATATACATGATAGTGAAATTAATGTGACATTTTGTTACCATCGCTAGTTAGAGTCTATTCGTTTCAATGATATTGCTATCAAACCTGATTTCGAGCACATAATATTTAACAAAACACTGTATCACTTAAGTAAGAAAAAGGGTTGATAATATATCATATACAAAGAATTTCGTATCAATGTTTTCAAAGAACTTCTAGATCCGGTAGTAGTAGTTAGAGCAACCCAATGGATATATTATTAATGGGGGTTTTGAGGTTTTATTGATTAATTATTAATATTTAGTGTACTTTATGTATATAAGATATTTTGTAATATTTTGTTGTTTTTAAATCTATAATAGAAACACTTTGATGAGTGTTTTAAAACAAAATATTTATATTTTTTTTAGTAAAATTAAGTAAAAATTTATGTTAATAACTTTTAAAACATAATACATTTTCAAAAATATAATATATAGAAACATATAATACATAAGTGCAATTCAGAAACTAGAAAAATCGCTCAATTATAATCTTTACTTCCACCAAATTTTTGCTATATATGGTTAACCAAATCAGCTTTTAATTGTTGATGTCTTGTTCTATCACGAAGTTGATTGCGAACGGTCATCATATTGCCGAGATTTGTAAGCATACCGGTAAAGTACGTCACATCCAATTCTGAAGTTCCTTATCCATGTTCGAAATCTGATACATCAATTAGATTGTATTCATCTCGCTCGTCTTCTATTATCATATTATGCAATATGACACATGCTTTCATAATTTTTTCTATGCCGGAAAGATCCCAAAAAAGTGTTGGGTTTTTAACAATTTTAAACCGAGCTTGCAAGACTCCAAAAGCACGCTCGACATCTTTTCTGACAGATTCTTGATGTGTAGCAAATAACGAGTCTTTGAACTTTATGGAATTGATATATATATATATATATATTATATAAAAGTTGTCCATTTCGGATAAATACCGTCTATGAAATAGTAAGTCAAATCATACTTGTGTCCGTTGACAAAGTAAAAGGAAGAGAGAGACGAAAAAATAACTGAAATTTTTGTTTTCTTTATTATGTTAATTATTCTTGTCCACTCATAATTCGCCACGTGTCTATTCTTAAATAAAAAAAAAGATCATAATTTAGACCCTGATCTAAAAATTAACACTCTTTATAATTCTTTTTATTCAATTATATTCTTAAAACATTTATTAGATCCTTTAATATTACCATTGGGTTGGTCTTAGACTCGTAGTATTTCTAATAAACAAACTCTAAAAGGAAATAGTATTCAGAATCATATTAATCAAGACAAAGAAAACGTCAAATTAATAAACAAGCGCTATGTGGCCCATTGGGCTCACTATAACGCAATGAGATCTCTGCATCAAACAAATCAGATATTTATTTTTTTCTTTTTCTCACCATCACTTATTACCAACCTCAATTCAAATTCAAGTAATTTGTTCCCTTGTTTTGCCCGATAATGAAACACATTCGTTATATCCGAAATGAGAAAAATAAATTTTCTTTTTAATCAATAGTTCTCTTTGCATCAAGACAATTTTGTTTATTTTAGATATAAAGAGTAAGAAAAATAATATAAATCATTCCTTTCGAACACCATTCCAATCATAACAAATATCAAATGCATGATTTATATCATTGAACCTGCATGGCCCATCTTTAATTATATCCCAAAAACAGTAGATACATGAAATGCCTTTACGAACACCATCTCTGCTATCATCATATATATCAAACTGTTTTGATTGTCCTTGAGGCCATGTGAAATGACAAGAAAACACCGTCGATCCCCAAATGTTTGGTCTGAAATAGAACGACCAAGAACTGTTCGGAGCTAGAACTTTGAGGCCGAGATCGTCGTCAGTGGACTTACAATGGAGGTTTAGTGTTGAACCATCGCCGAGGCGATTTGTAATCTTCACTTGTGATTTAAGAGTAGACCATTTACGATCAAAATCTGAAGCGTCAATTTCCACTCGTGAAACAGCTATTTGGACGAGTAGAAATATCATCATCACATAGATTTTTTGGTTTAATACTGCAGCCATCTTTAGTATAGATGGATCAATATGTATCTGCTGGATACTATTTGTTTCATTTGCACTGGTATATATATATATATAACAAGTAAAGATTTTGTATTTTGTTTCCAAAATATAATTGGTCAAATAAGAAAGTTAATTCTGTCAAATAAAATATTTAAGAAAGTTAATTGTTATGGTAGAATATCAATATATATATATATATATTTGTCAATATATACATAATTAAAACTGGATTTGTCTTACATATTTATTATCCATATATATGTAAATGAATTTTGATAAAAAACAAATATGTAAATGAATCCATCGCCAATAAGTTAGAAAAAATATATTACGGTTCAAAATTTGGTTAATAAACATTTCAAGTTTTTTTTCTTCTTCTGATTTGAACTGAGTCGATTTAGAGCAGGAAATATAGAAAATATCTTAAAAATATTTGATTTGGCTTGGAGTCGGTTTTGAATTAGAAATATAGATCAATTCATCTTCTACTCTAGAAAAAATTCTAAACAAAACAGTACCACAAGAATTAATTGATAATTTAGTAATGGTTTAGTAAATTAATTAATCAATTCATCTTAAATAACGGTTTGGTAAAAAAAAACCAAAACCGGGTTTTCAAGTTTTGTCGGTTTTGGTGAAAAGGACTTGTTGAGGAAGGAGAATGTAATCGATGTGAAGATCCTCCAACATTTTCTTAATTGCCATAGAAAGCTCAGTTCTTCTGATGTTCCTCTCTCTGTATTCCTGAAACGTGATAGTATGGTTTTGTAGGATCAAAGCGATGCATCGTCACTTTGAGCATGTAAAATGAAGTTCAAAGGATCACATGATACTTTATACTACGAAATCAGTAATCACGTAAACACGATTATATATATGTATAGTGAAATTAATATAACATTTTGTTACCATCGGTAGTTAGAGTCTATTCGTTTCAATGATATTGCTATCAAACCTGATTTCGAGCACATAATATTTAACAAAACACTGTAGTAGTTAAGTAAGAAAAGAGTTGATAATCTATCATCTACAAATAATCTTTTAATATTTGGTATATTTACTAAACAAAGCCAAAAAAAGAAATAATATTCAGAATCAAGAGAAGGAAAAAAGTCAAATTAATAAATAAGCGCTTTGTGGCCCATTGGACTCATTGGGCAGCACCTGACTCCGCCCTGAAAATTTCGGGATTTGAGAAGAGAATTTACGGAAACGAGACGGAAATGAGAAATTTGGGAATTAAGAAATGATTCCCATAAGGGAATCCGACAAAAATAGAACGAGAAACTACAAGTACGGGATGAGAATCTGCGGGTATGAGACGGGAACGGGAATCCCAAACTCTTAATTTAAAGACATATGTTTTGGAAAATTTTAGGTATTTTCAAGAATTTTTGGAAAATTTTGAGAAATTTCAGAAATATTTAGAAAATTTTGAGAAATATCAGTAAAATTCAACAAAATTTGGGAAATTATGTAATTTTTTTAAATATTAATTTTTTAAACAGAAATTCGGGTTCCCGATCTAATTCCCTTACCTTTTTTCTTATTCGTTTGAATAAAATAAATGATTCCGAATGGGAATTTTCTAAAACGGGAAAGAAAACGGGACATAAAATTTAAAACGGGTACGAGTAATATTTTGTCTCCTTGTCTTGCCCAAACGACTATAAAACACATTCGTTATATATATGTAAATATATATACTGTATATATATTTGAAATGAGAAAAATAATAAATAATTTGTTTTTATAATTAATTTTTCTCTGCATCAAGACAATTTTGTTTATTCCAGCTAAAAAGGCTAAGAAAAATAATAAAAATCATTCATTTCAATCTCCATTCCAGTTATAACATATATCAAATGCATGATTTATCTTGTCGAACATGTATGGTCCATCTTTGGTTATATCCCAGACAATAGATGCATGAATTGCCGCTAATGACACCATCTCTGTTATCAACGTATTTGTCAAAATGTTTTGATTGTCCTTGAGGTCATGTGAAAAGACAAGAAAACACCGTCGTTCTCAAAATAGTTGGTGTAAAATAAAATGACCAAGAGCTATTCAGAGCGAGAACTTTGAGGCTGAGATCGTCGTCAGTGGACTTACAATCGAGGTTTAGTGTTGAACCATCATCGAGACGATTTGTGATCTTCACTTGAGTTTTAAGAGTAGGCCAGTTACGATCAAAACCTGAAGCGTATATTTTCACTCGTGAGAGAACTATTTGGATGATTAAGAGATATCACCACCACATAGATTTTTTGGTTTAATAGTGCAGCCATTCTTTATATAGATGGATCAAATTATGTATCTGCTTGTTTAATTAATTTGTACTGGTATATATATATAACAAGTCTTTTATGAGATGTTGTACATTGCGGTTTTGTATTTTGTTTCCAAATTATAATTGGTTGAATAAGAAAGTTAATTTTGTCAAAAGAAAAGTTTAAGAAAGTTAATTGTTATGGTAGAATATCAATTTTTTGATACATGCATTGTCAATATATACAAAATTAAATCTGGACTAATCTCACATATTATTCATATATATGTAAATGAATCAATCGCTAATAAATACTGAAATCTATTGACAACGTTGAGTAGTAGACCCAGTTAAGTTGGAGAAAGTAAATTTACGGTTTAAAATCCGGTTAATAAATGTTCGATGTTTTTTTTCCTGATTAAGAAACAACTGAAATATGTGATTTGAACTGAGTCGGTTTTAGAGCACGAAATCATAAAAATGTTCGATTTGGCTTTAATCGGTTTAGAACTCCAAAATATAGAATTCATCTTCTACTCTAAAAAATCTAAACAAAACAGTACCGCAAGAATTGATAATATCTTGGATAATATCTTAAATAACGGTTTAGTAAGAAAACCAAAAACCGGATTTTCAATTTTTGTCGGTTTTGGTGAGAAGCACTTGTTGAGGAAGGAGAGAGTAATCGATGTGAAGATCCTCCAACATTTTCTTAATCGCCATAGAAAGCTCGGTTCTTCTGATGTTCCTCTCTCTGTATTCCTGAAACGTGATGGTGTGGTTGCTGTATAGAGCCATCTTCAGCTTGTTCATGTTCTCTATCTCCTTCACCACCACCGTGTGTATCGCTGACCAATGCTGCGGATTCTGCTCCAAGTACCTGTTTCAACACCAAACCAAACAACTCTTTTTCAAGGTTTTGATCCAACCGAAACCAAACTGTTTTAGATGCATGAAGTGTGCAACTTACTCGGCGATTCTTTCTTTGAGATGTGCGATCTTCGAGACTGGTGTCGAAAACGCGATGGAGAACTCCACTGTTTCTCCCATATCCGGACTTCTGAAGTAGTTGCTAATCGGTTTCGTGGCCAAAACCGCGTTTGGATAATACACTTTCTCGTTGTCGAGCTTCAAGAACACCGTCGACAACAAGTTCATTTCTTCAACCAGCATCTGAAAAAAAAAAAACACAATAAGAATGTGAGAACTGAGAACTTCTTAGACATAATAGTATATGAATGACATGGACATTTAACTGGTGGTGAGTTTTACCGGGACACCGTCGACAACGCAGCGATCACCAACATCATAGGGATGCATAACGAAGACAAAGACAATGGACTCAAAGAGATTTTTGCAAGTGCTTCCGATTATAAAAGCCAGAGCAACGAGTTGAGTGGAGAAGAACAGCAAAACCTTAGTGGTTGCTACTTCAAGAAGCAGCAGCCAGATGACGACAGTGATCACGATCAAGATCGCTGTCACGAGTTTGTTTAGCTGCTTAACCGCCGTTTTCGTGTCGTTTAAGGAATGCGCTAGCGCTTTCCGGCTAGTGTACACCTTAACCTGATCAGAATAGCAACACAACACAAGTGGTTAAAGATAAGTTATGCTAACATAAGCAATCTGAAACTCCTCACATCTCCAAATAACCATAACTTAAAAGAATAAAGAGCATGAAAGTGTATTGAGGAGACTTACCACCCATTCTGTGAAAGCTTTTCTGGTGATCCTCCCTGTCTCGGCGGCACCGTCAAACAAAGGGAATACAAGATCGACCTCTTCCTTAATCATGAACCTAAGCAAGTCTTCTTCCTCTATGTAGCTGAAGAAAACAACCAAATCCATTAGAGAATGCACAAGAAAAGAAGAAGAAAAAAGAGCATATGAATATTGTTATTCTCACCTGAAGCAAGGCTGAGCAACATTTCTAAAGACATGGTAAGCAGCAGCCAAAGCCTCCATCTCACTAGTAATCTCTCCTCTATCAGCTTGCGCCTTCCCTTCGCCGTATGCTGTTTCATCCAATGTGTCAGAGATTGTAGAGAGACCTGAAGTTCTAACAGCTTCCACCAAAACCCGCATTGTCCACGCGGAAACTTTCTCTCGCTTCATCTTATGAACTTTCCCCATATCAATCACTTTCTTCTCCTTAACCGTTCCTTTCTTCACCACGGTCGCGAAACTCAAATGCCCTGTGCCTGGCTCACGCCCCACCCTCTCTGCCTCCTCGATAAGCGGAGGACCAGAGAGCGTTTGCAGAACGTACTGGTGGAACACAGAATCTTGAATCCGGTCGAAGAAGTTCACCACGTTGAAGTTCGCTGCAAGAATTTTCAGCAAGAGTGTTTTCACCAGCCAAAGGAAAGATCCCGTGAGGAGGGAAATAAGAGTCCTGGTTAAGGCATTGAGGATCTTTGTGGCTGCAGGGGACCGATGCACGTCGTGGTTGAACAGAAACACCCAAGCAACAAGAATCAAGCTGAGCCAAATGAAGACTTGGACGCTCTTCTTCAAGCCGTGCACAAAGTAGAGCACTTTCCTCCTCAGAAGAAAGTTTGTCTCTATGAGGAACACAACCACACGCATGAACCAGTTCGTCACCAACATCCCGCTGAATATAACCATCACAAGCACACACCATTTCCACACTTCTAGCCCCCAGAAGTTATGATGTTTCACGACATCGATGGTTAAACTAGCAACCAAGGCGCTCAAAACCAACACAAAGAAAGCTATCTCTATCAATGTCAATGGACTTATCTTTCTGCGCATCTCTTTGCTCAGCTTCACCTTCTTGTAGATCTCTTCATCTTCATCTTTCTCCGCCTCAACAGCTTTACTTGGAGTTAGCGGTGTGGTTGACCCGACACTCCTCGTCGACTTGTTGTTAGGGGAACCTCTACTGAAAGAGAAAGCAGTACCAAGCTGTTCCTTGACTTCCTCCTCTAGAACACGTGCGTCTACAGGACAAGATGGTTCCACAAACCGGGACTTGGGTTTCGAGTAAACCGACCTCGCAAAAGATTTCCTCTGAGTTAAACCTTCATTGCTCGGATTTGGAGATCTAGGAGGCTTGTTAGGGCTGCCAACAAGCTTAGAGATTTCAGGAGAAGAGCTTCTGTTGATGGGCATTGCTCTCTCGGACTCTGGTGAAGCCATCTTTGAAGAAGCCTTTGATGCTTCCTCACCTGAGACATTGATAACAACTTCTCTTCCTCCGTTGCTGCTCTTTCGTTCTGCCATTCCAATGCCACTAGCATCCATTTCACAATAATGGCTCTGAAATATTCCACAAGAAAAAAACAAGATTAAGAACACTGTGGGGGTTATAAAGGACCAATTTTTTTTTTAGCTTGAGTAAGATACAGTAATAAGATATTTGATTTATTAGACGCTTGATAAAGAGACAAAATAACCTTACAAACAAAGGGTTTTAGGAAACTCTTGCGCTTGTTCGAATGTTTTAAGGAAAAATGTGGAATCTTAAACCCTAAATTCTTTATGCAGAGGTTGCGTTTTTGTTTTTAACAAAGTCAATGGATTTATACAGGAAGATAATTTTAAAGAACTCATCATTTATCCCTACTAAATCTGTAACAAAGTTCTAAGCTTTCCAGAAAAAAATAAAAACAGAAATCTGTACTTCCCTAGAGAAAAGTAAAGAGCAAAAAACTAATTTAAATCCCTACAAATTACAAGCTAAAAGAGTGGGGAAATGAGGTTACCAGTAGCAAAATCTTCTTCTGGTGTGAGTATCAGCTCATTCTTGAAGAAGACCCAGAAAAGAGCAAGATCTTAAGAGATAGTACACAGCACGACCACGTTTAAAGAGAGAGATTATAATGAGAGACGGAAGAATTCAAACATTTGGTAAAGAATAAACGTCGATAATGCTCTTAAAAAAGAAGAAGCAAATAATAGCAGCTGAAAAGGAGAGGCGGTGGAGATTTTTGGCCTGAGAAAATGGCTTAAACCCAGAAGCCAACAAATACAAAAAGGCAACTGATTAAAAAACAAAACATAGAAAGAGGAAAGAGAAAAGGATCAAGAAGATCTCACATGAACAAAAAACACTAAGGCGGGTCCCAATGAGTAAATTATTACTAAGGCGGGTCCAAAGAGTGGGAGATGTCTTTGATACCTCAAGACTTAAGCCTAAATCCTAATTACTTTTCAAAATAATAGTACTTGGGAACTGTAATTTACTTACTTTTTACATTGAAGATGCCAAGATGATGGAGTAGTTTATCGACCATTTAAGTTCCAAAGTTTCAATAAAGTAAATTGCTAAACTCCTAACTTTTTTACCAACAGCAAAGTTACTAATCTTATTTATTCAAAATTCGTTTTTTTCATATGTACTAGCTGACATTAAAACACTGCTCTGTCCTAAAATGTCAGAATAAAATATATCTTTTGTAAAATTTACATGTTCTGCAAAATTTCAAATTTCAAATTCCAAATGTACACGAGATTTAATAAACTTCGGTACTAGTGAGAGAATCAAACACAACATCAATTAAATGGATTGATAAACTAAAAATTTGCAACTTCGATTGAAAAATACAACAATTATTTTTTTGTTACACAATGAAGATGATTTATTCGTTGACTACTGACTAGTGGGTGACCCATTCACACTGTCTCCATCAGTTTCATTATGTTGTTGCTAAAGAGCTGTTTTACAATCATTCCGTTAATTAACGCGTTTATGGCATGTCTAATAGTTAATACTATACATACAATACAACAATTAATTCGTGATTGGTCAGTTATCTGTAAATAATATATGGGATATTTTTGTTAAATTACTAAACTTTATCGTATTACCAACTAATTATCATGGTCTAACGATTTTATACGAGTTAACAAACTTGACCAATTGTAGTTGACTACCATCCAAATTTCCAAAGTCGTTAAAAGTTAAAACCGACAAAAAATAATTCCATCGTTGCCGTAGAAACGTTGCACAATTATTTAATTTATTCGTTTCCTGTCCATACAAAACAAAACTTAGTTATAAATTTAAGTATCGAATTGTTCCACACAAAAAAAAAAAATTAAGTATCTAACATGCAATCCAAAAGGTGGTAGTTTCCCAAATTTCTCTTATATTATTCCTCTGTACGGACCTGTTCAAATAATATTCATATCTTCAAAAATTGTATATACGTGAATCAAATTTCGAATATTTATCGAAAACTAAGCGGCGTTACTGTAAAAAGGCTATTGATACAAATGTACGCTGTACACTAATGTTAGTAACTTCATATAGTAGTCAGAATCAAACACGAAACAGTTAAATGGAATAATAAATTACAAATTGGTACAAACAATAAAAAAGTGGCAACTCTTTATTAAACTACAATTGTTTATATATTTTTGTTGGTTCTCAAACGTAAACACGCAAAAAAAAAACCAATATTGTTAGACTGCTGACCAGACAAATCCTCTGGCTCCATTAATTCCCATTTTGATCGATTTAATAAATAGCTGTTTTTAATCATTCCCTTAATTTTCAATTGAACATGTGTTGGCATGTCCATTAATATACAAATTCAAATTGGTGATGATTGGTCATGCGAAAACTCAAACCAGACCAGAATGTTCGGTTTAAATAAGCTAGAAGAAAAGGCCCAATTTTAAGCCCATCTCTCACTGAAGAAAAAGATCAAGGCGCCACGTGATATTTACTCAAGGCCCAATTTAAAGCTTATCTCTCACTGGGCTGGATTATTTATTTCAAAAAGGGTAAAACTTGACGTGGTATATATAAGCCCCACAAGGCCACAATCTAAGAGAGAAATAAAGAAAATTTTATATCGCCGACTTAAACCCAACTAAAATTTCCTTTTTTTTTTCTTTTTCTTTCTCGCTGCAATTTCCTTTTCCGAGTTCCTCACCGACTTAAAGCCCTAACTCTATAAAGGTTCCACATTCGTTCTCTCTCTCGCTACGGATTTGCTTGTTTTCTCTACAATTTGTCTTCCACTTTGTCTCGGCTACAATTTTTCTCTCGAGTGATTAACTTTCCTCTAATTTGAAGAAGCCCTAGAGAAAGACTATTTGCAAATTAAAGATGCAATCAAACGAAGAAATTGTGGATTTTTTAGGCGAAGGTGTTTACGGCTGTGTTGATCTCGTAAAATACATTCAAAGCGACGGCTCCTCGTTTCACGCCGCCGTGAAAAGCTCTAACGCCGAGAACTACGACGCTCTTAACCGAGAGCTTCAGATTCTGCAGGAACTCAGAGGATACCCGAGTATCGTTAACTGCTTTGGAGACTATTTGGAAGAAGGCCTCAACGATAAAGGAGACAAAGTCTACAAATTGCTTCTCGAGTACGCATCCGAAGGGGATTTACGCGATTTCATGGACAGTCACGCCGACAGAAAATTGCCGGAGCCGATGATAAGGGACTTCACGCGCATGATTCTCGAAGGTTTGGTTGCGATTCACGGTCACGGTTATGTTCACTGCGACCTCAAACCCGAGAACCTACTCGTCTTCCCCTGCGGAGATTCGTTCGAGTTGAAGATTTCCGATTTTGGGATTTCCTTGGAAGTCGGAGAAGTTCCGAGTTACTGGACAGTCGACTTCCCGTTTGTTGGAACGCCGTATTACATGCCACGGGAGTCCCTCAGGGACGGCGTCGCGAACAAAACCATAGATCTGTGGTCGCTAGGGTGCTTGGTACTGGAGATGTTTACAGGTGTGCGTCCATGGCGAGGGATGAAAACCGATACTCTCGAGAATTATCTCCTTGAAGGTAAAGCTCCAGCGATTCCGGAGAGCGTGCCTTGCGATGCAAGGGAGTTTATTGAAACGTGTTTCGCAAGGAAACCAGAAGAGAGAGGAACCGCGTATGAGTTGTTGTCTCACCGGTTTTTATTGCCTCGGGAAGAGGAGAAGACTAGTGCCGTCGCCGTCGCTGAAGAGCGAAGAAACTCGTTACAGTGGAGGTTGAACAGAAGAGCTAGGAACGAAGCTAGGAACAAATCGACGACGACGGATAGTAAAGAGAAACCATGGGGCTGCAATTTTTTGGGTAAACTCCTGAGGTTGAAGTTTGTGTCTACGAAACCATTGGGCTCCAATTTAGTTTCAGTTCAGTAATGTGCTGAATTGATTATCTCTGTTTACTTTTTAGTATATGTACATCAAGCTACATATATCAGTTCAAATGTCAGCTCTCGATCCATATGTATGTTACGACATTGACTGTTGATATAATAATAGTTTTTTTTTTTTGAAGAAATTGTTACATTTACGATTCCTTTCTTTCACTTTCCATCAAAAATTTACAGATTTTGCCTCTTAAGATTTATCTGAATGTTCTTTGTTGGATTTGTCTGAGGACCTGAAAACTTCGAGAACTGTTATTCCTTAGCTTGGCAATAATTATTGGATTAGATGGTAAAGTTTTCCAACGTTTTAATTATATTTCATTAGTGGAGCATTCTAGTACTACAACTCTTGGTAAGTATTGCTGGACATGAACAATTGTCTCTGTTATTAGGCAAGTTCATGTTCTTTTTGTGTAATACTAAGAATTCACTACAACTTGAGTCATTCTTCATCAAAACGAGCAGTGATGATTCTCCTGTTGGGTTTGACTTAGATTTTTAAGAATATATTTGAATAGCACAAATGAAATTTGGATAAAGTTTTGTAAGTTCAACAAGCTGGGTTTAAATGAGCAATGTTCATTTAAGTTTTAACCTCCAATTTTCGTATTAAATTTAAGGACGAAATCATTCAGTGAGATTTAGGTGTCTTTAACTCTTCACTTCACCCGAGCGTCTCCGAGATATCCCAAAGATGGTGACTCGTCTACGACTCGTTTCGAGATCTTCTCGTTACGCCACCGTCAAGTTGGCTGAGTCTGCCTCGGTATGCTCATGTCGTCGATTCTCTGCCTCCTCCGACCCGACTCACCCTGAACCCGAATCTCAACCCGAACAACGCCCGCCTTTAAATCCCGTTACCGAAGACGGAGATCGACACGAAAAGCTACGGAATCTCCGAGTTCTCCTCCAGCAGAATCGAATTGAAACGGCGCGTGGGGTTCTCTCTTCGCTGGTTCAATCGGGTTCTGCGCCTTTCACATCGCCGAAAGAACTCTTCTCCGCCTTCTCGCTATCATCTCCGTCGCTGACAAACGATTTCTCGTATTTGCTTTTCTCCGTGCTAACCGAATCGAAGATGGTTTCTGAAGCCACGGATTTGTTCTTCGCCTTGAGGAACCAAGGTATTTTTCCCA